CCCCCTTTTTCCCCCCCCTGTTCCCCCCCAGCCTGTCCCCGCCGTGATGGCTCGCAGGCCACAGACACGGCCGGCGCAGAACTGGAGCATCGGGATTGTGTATGGGTCTCCTGGGGTCCGAGAAGCAGGGGGAAGGAAACCTGCATTTAAGTACAGAGCACTGATACAGGCGTTAGGCTAAACCCTTCCCTCCCGGGGTGGCTGGCTGGAGCAGGCACTACAAAGCCATTTCCTAAAGTTTGTTATTCCTTTTCAGGCCAGGACTCTGCAGTTGGCAGCAGGGCTGGATTAGGAAGGGGGAGGCATTGTACGCTGGAGGCAATGCTGGGTGAGCCGGGCTGGCAACCAGGGGCTTTGTTTCAGCAATGCTCAGGGTGACAAGTCCAGCATCTCTGGGTGAGACAGTGCAGCAGCCTGGAGCGGCTCCGGGAGGAGGACAAAGGAGGAACGCCTGGCACATACACATGTCCTCGGCCATGCTGGTGGAAGCAAAAAAGACAACGAGCCCTATCAGCTTCCCGCTCCCACCCTGTCCAGCTCAGAGGGAAAAGGAGCAGAGTCAGGGCTGCTCTTCCAGATCCCTGGGGCTTTACCACACTGAAGCCTTCAGCCTTATTTCACTTCAAATCCCAGGACTGCTGCTGTTCCGGCCGGGTCGGTGCCTCGAGGGTCTGGAGGAGTGGTGCTTGCTGGCCTCCCAGCGTCACGCCAGCGCCGGGGGCTTGGGACAACTCCCGCTGCTCCTTCTCAAAGCGCTCCCTGAGGCTGTTCGTGGGGTCTCTTCCCGGGACCACCCCAACTAATGGTGTTTGCCAGAAGGTCCCAGGGAGTTGGCGTTGCAGGGACACAAGAAGTTGCTGCTTTTCTCCAGGAGCTGAGTCTGTCCCCACGCACGAGGGAAGGTGGGCTCAGCCCCGAGGGTCTGGATTTGGGGTTTCCGCCTTCGCCCCAGAGACAGTGGAGGAGTCAAGGGTGGGGATCTGCCATCATCCACATCCCACACACCGTGGAGCTGAAGTCTCATTTTTTTTTATTTTTTTGCCTTCACCTCCCACTCGAGGATCGGGAGCCAAGTACATTTCTCATTGCACCCAGCGCGCGGGGAGGAGGAGAGGCAATGTGGGAGGGCACGGGGGGAGTGGGAGAAGCCATCGGCAGGCGGGTGCAGACCCTGCAGGAACACGGCTCGCCGCAAGCAGGGGCTTGGAGGGCCTGGAAAGCCATCCTCACCCCTGCGGCCGTGCAGGTGGAGGACAGCTTGAACAGGCACTGGGTCTCTCCCTGCCGTGCAGAAGCCACGGGAGGAGCAGGCTGGGGCTCGGCAGGGACGGGCCCCGCAGGCAGGGCTGGCTCCATGATGCCACCTCATCGCAGGGACAAGTCCGTGGGAAGGAGGTGGAAAGCAGGAGAGCTGTGATGCTCAACTGGAGAGGGGAGAGGGATCAGAGTATTGAAATGAACTGGGAACTGAGAGAGATGGAGAGATTTCTTCCATATGGATTCTCCAGGCTGATCACATCTCAGCTTTCAACCAAGTCCTCTGTCCCTGAGCCCCACGGCCCCGGGCCACCCTGCCACAGCAGCTGACGCTGTGCTGAGCTCCTCTCTGGGACAGCAGGCAGCGACAGCGGGCAGCTCGGGCTGGGCAGGGTGAGCAAATGCCACCCCAGCCCTCAGGGCTGCCACCTCCCTCGGCACAGCACCCTGCACCGAAGGGACCGGGGGGGTCACCCGAGGCGCTACGGGGCTGCAGAGGCTGGCAGGGCATCGCAGGGCCGTGCCACCGGCCTGCCCGCACAATCCCCAGCTGGGATTTTGCAGCAATGGTGTCAACGCAGCATCTTTCTCCTTCTGGAACAAGTCGCCTCCTAACCCTGAGCCCTCAAGAGCAATAGTCATGGGAAACCATGGAAACGGGCGGCTGGCACGTGACAGCGTGTGCCTGCGCTCCTGCCCCTGATTTATGTCTCGCGTCTGGGACGAGACGCAGAAGTTCAGGGCTGCTGGGCTTCATTGGGGATTTTGAGGCAGCAGAGCGTCGCCGCCACTGTACTCGCCCTCCCCTGTTTGGGGAGCAGGATGGCACGGGGGAGTGGGGCTGGGCTCCCCAGGGCCAGATGTGATCTCCCCTGGAGAAGGCTGGGGGATTTCTCACTTACTTTTCTCATATTTTCTAATATCCTAACAGTTCTAAATGGAGACTCTTGAGCCAAGACCCTTCGACTCCCAGTGCCGGGGAGCAAGGCGAAGCGCCCGCTGTGGCCAGGCTCAGCCTGTGGCCGGGTACCGGGCTGTGAGCCCCGCACGGATGAAGGCACAAGATACGAAAGCTTCAGAGAGTCCTGTTCTTTAAACACACAGCAAGTAATAACTTAACCAATGCTCCACCTAGATTATCGCCTGAGTGTTCATATTTGTCAGAATTCGAGGTTTTTTCCCTTTTTGAAAGCGCTAGCGCCGCATTGCAGTTTCACTCTGGTTTTAAGCTGGGTCTAAGCACAGCGCCTGCATTTTTAAGGGAGAGTGATAAGCTTGGCCGTGCCATCCTGGGTCCAGAGGGGTTCCTCTGCTGCATGGTGGCCACCTGGGGACATGGTGGTTAATATTTGGGCTCCAGCTCATGGGTGCTAATCCCAGTGGCTAATGGACACTTGGCAAATCCAAACTTTAAGCCGGCTGGTGAGAATCTGATGATTTGGAAGCCGGTGATGGTGTTACTGGTGCCCTGAACGATGCCCGACCTCCAGCCGGGTAGGGCTGGCCACGCCGCTGTGTTCGCACACCGGTTCGGCAGCTCCCAGCTGAGCCGAGCTTTGTGTCCCTGAGCCAAGGGGTTTGCGGACGTGAGGGGCTCCCACTCTGTCCCAGTGCAATGTCAGTGGGGCACCCGCAGCGGGGGACCCATGGGCAGCACCTTCTCCACCAGCTCTTGTTAGATCTGCAAGAGCAAATTTGCTGACACCGCCAGTCTGGCTGCTGTTAACTGAGGCTGCTTTTAAGGAGAAACAGCAGCTTTTTGCCTCGACAGATCTGCAGTAACAAAGCTCCAGCCCCCAAAGGGGCTCAGCCACCCCCCCAGCCCCTGCCTGCCCGGGTGTCAGAGCTGCGCCCTCAGCCTGTCTGTCCGTCTGTCTGTCTGCCCTGCAAGGGTGCACAGCGGGTGCGGGAGGCGGCTGTGCAGACCAGGCTGCTTCTCTTGTCTCCGATCCCCCTCTGGGGGATTGGCGGTTATTACAAGTCTCCGTAGTATTTTCCTTTTCCCTGTGCAAAGGGACTGTGCTGCAGGTTTAATATGCTGGATTGTCAGGGAGCTGGAAACGGCATTTGGGTAAAAACCAGCCCAAAAGCACGCACACGAAGGCAGCAGGAAGCCTGGCGTGGAGGTGTTCCCGCGCCCCTCGTCCCTGCCAAGGCACCAGCGGGAGCCATGCGATCACAGAACAACGACGATAAATTCCTTATACACGAGCCTTAACTCCGGATCCCTCTACAACTGGGTACTGCCACGAGGAGGGAGGGCAAATTCTTGTTATTAAGAAAGTCCCCGTGGGACAGACGGTGACCTGCTTTGGGTGCCAAAGGGACGCCCGCGGGCGGGGGCACCCCCCGCTCCCCCCTCGCCCCGACTCTCCGTGCAGCCCCAACCAGAGGCGAGCGAGGGTCCGTCCTTCCGAACACACCCGCCTGCAAAATCGGGGAGCAGCCGGGGGAGAGCAGAGGCAGAGCTCCGTGCAGCCAGCAGCTGGGATAACTTTAACTCGGCACTTTGGATTCTGAATTTCCTCTGAGCTGTTTACAAGCGCTGAAAAAAAAACTTCCAGCCCTAACCCACTCCCCCCGCCCCCCCCAGCACCGTCCTGATGTTGCCCAGAACATCTCCCTCATCCCTCCCTTTCGGGGATGAAAAAAAAAAAGGGAAGGAGGGAGGAGTGGGAGAGAGGAGGAGAGAGGGAGAAAGTGAGCTCACGTTCACACATTGGTAAAGAGGCTGGTCTTGCAATGCCTTTGAATATTTTACTTTTAGGCAGTTCCCCATCAGTCAGCCGCACACACCCGAGCCGAGCTGAAGCGAACCACAGCCATGGACAGCACTAGGAGATCTGAAATCTAATCGCATGCACCATACCTCCAGGATATTTTTTTAAATTACATATATAAACCCGCCGGCAGGCAGCCGCGCTCGCAGCCGCACACACACACACACATATATACATCCACACGCCGGCAGAGCCGCCAGCACCCGCACAGCAGCTGAGCAAACACCTTGCCTCTTCCCGCAGGATATACCCGCTCACACACATCTCTCTTCATCTCCTCCTGGCTTCCCGGAGGATCGCGCCGGCTGTTTTCCATGGAGAAAGTCCAGGGAGAAATGGAGATTGAGAGATGGGAAAGAAGTGAAGAGATTTCAGACGCAGAAAAAAAGGTTATTCAAGAGACATGGAGCAGAGTATATGCAAACTGCGAGGACGTTGGGGTCTCCATACTCATCAGGTATTTAAAAAAGCAAGAAAAAAAATGAAGCTGCGAAGCCACCTAAAGCTCTTTATAGCTGAGGAAGAGGCAGAACAATATATATAACCGAACTGAGATGAATGACAGCGAGTGGGGAGCTGGCTGGGCGCATTCGCCGGCTGGGAGCAGGCAGGGTTTCGCAGCACTCCTCTGATTTCCACACCTTTGAGCCGGGTGGCGGCGGCGGGGGGAGCGGGGGGGAGC